TATCCTTAGTTTATAGGTGTTGATATACCATCAAGCTGTGTCCTAAGACCAATCACATTTTTTCCTGTAGAACATAGGGTTGGGATTCCCTGGTGGGAACTTAATGAATTATGGAAGATAATTGCCTAAACAGATTTCTTTTTGCATTCTAAAATATGGTTTTATGCCACCAGGAAGGAACACAATAAAACCCACCATCTTGTGTAGGATCCAGAAGGATTTCAGCATGTGTAGAGTTTCTAATTAATTGCAAAACTTTATCTTCAGTCACCTTTCACTGCGTGTGAATGGTGTTTGCTGGATGTATGTGTCCTCATACTGTTCATTAATGCCTGTCTGGTTTGTTTCTCATTTCATGGAGGGGGATGGAGAGAAGGGGAAGGGAGAAGAAGAAATAATTGATGGACAGATTCATACAGGGCAACTTGGGGTACTATGCAATATTCCTGAATTCTCATGTTGCGCTGAGCCATTTTATTCTGGGAAAATATCTGGAAAAGAATGGGATGATGGGGGAGAGGTGATATTGAATGTCTTTTTTTACTTTGCCTCTCTAATCTTTCAGATATTGAAAAAGTCAGTAACCTCTTTTAACAAAGGAATTGAATTACACTTGGGTGTATAATTCATCTGAATCTTGGTGCTCTATCTGTAAGTTACAAAAAGTGCTGATAATAAAATACTTTGCCGTCACTGCCAATATAATATCAGGGACAATTTATGTACTTTTGTTGAATAGAGGATCAGGCGTTCCGTTTGTCAAACTGTTGCTAGAAAAGATATAGGCCTGAAAGAAATGTAGTTTTTATATTTCTTACTGCCTTTTTATATGGAAAAAAATTCTAGTTAAAATACACATTTGTTGTTTAAAAATACCTTGTTTATTGTGTATTAATGTATTTATTAGTAATACACTAATTACTCAGGTTTAGCTAAAAGGGCAAAATTGCAAACTGTTTTTGAAGCAATGTATTCCTTTAAATGACTGAAACTGAATTTAAATGAAATCACTTTGGTGATGTCCTATTTTCTGATGAACTTCTGGCATTCATATTATATCAGCAAACTTTGCTTGTCATAAGAGTGTACAACAGCTCCAATATATAACTTTCTTTAACCGTTGCAGTTATTTATATATGCTCAGGTATTTAAAAATAAGCTGTAATAGCTGTGATATCTTTCATATCTTTTGATACCTATTTCTCTCAGAAAAAGTTACATAAACACACCTATTTATCTCATGCTTGTATTTGGCATATAATTGTGTTTGTGATTTTTAAGGGTGACATATATTATGCCAATGAACTTTCCACTGGTACCATGGGAATTTTTTTTGTTCTCCATCTTGCATCTATATGCTTCATAAATTTGTTCTAGAGCAGGGGTGTCAAACTCATGTTGTCACAGCGGTGTCACGTGACATATCATGACTTTTTTCCCTTCATTAAACTGGGCATGGGCATGGCCAGTGCATGACGCATCCGGCCCACAGGCTGCAAGTTTGACAGCCCTGTTTTAGAGAGTTGAAGGATGTGTTGGCAGTGGGAGAAAACAATCAAATTTAATACTAAATAGGACATTTAGTATAACTTATTTTAGACACTGTTAAAAGGTATTTTAAAATTGTATTAAAATAATCTTGCAAGAATCTAGTTGTTTTCTGTACTGGATTGCAGACAAAATGTCACAAATGTCATTCAAGGAATTTTATATGTTAAAAGTGGTTATAAAACATAAACACAATATTTTAAACCATGAGGTTTCTCTTATTCATTTTGCTAATATGTCTTTGAATAGTGCAAATAATGTATACTACATGTATACAAGCCTTTATATGGAACAAGAAATTGTTTCTGAAATTTTAATTTTGCATATGATGTGATATAAATTAAGTTAGATATATTTTTCATTATTTTCAACTGGATGTCCTCATCTAAAGAGAAAATAAAAGTTTCTTGATGTTTACTTGTCAATTATTGTTATGCAATGTCTTAAATCTGTAACTGACTCATTACCATGTTTGGTAGTTACTAATACATCAATTAAAATATACTGTGATTAATATAATGTACATGGTTTGAAAAGATCTAATATTTACAGAAATAATCTAAGTTAAATTTTAAACACTGATGTTAACATATTGTAGATTATCACCTTCTTTCAAAAATAGAATCATCTAGGTTGAATGTGGATACTTGAAATGGAAATAAACCATCAATACAACTGATGGTTGTAATGGTTATCAAATTAAATAATTCAAGTGCTTAAAAAAATTCTGAATGCTCTTTTTGCATAATCCACAGAATTTAGAAGAATCCACAGAAGAGGCAAGAATAAAATCTAGAGAGCAGTCTATTTATCAATTGCTTATTCCAGAATTAAAAATAAAGAACTTCTAAAGACCCCACACAAGTTTAGTATGGTGATATACTTCTCATGAAGTATCTGAATTTTTAACATGCTTGTAAGTGTAGGGTTCAGGTGATGCAGTGTGGTGCTGAAGGTGTTGATTGGGACCAGAGAGGTTTAGTCACTGTTTAATCAGGATTGTTGTTACAAACATTAGAGAAGAGAATGCTGTCCATACTGCTTAGAGCCCTGAAAGGAAGGCAGAATATAAATCAAAATAAATTGGAACATTCCAACTGTCCTTTTATTAGCACATATGAAATGACAGGAAGAGAAGGTAGTTCAAGTGCAAATTATTTGCATACAGAAAGTCCTAAGTTCAGTCATAATGCTTCCAGGAGTTTTTTTCCAAGCACTATAAATAGCACTAAACCTGTAAGTCAACTGTTTGTTGTCTGCCCACAGAATACTTGTCCCAAAACAAAGGCATTTGATTCCCCCAGAATTTGCTATATTTTGCATGACCTACAGTACAGAGTGGAATGCCAAACAGCCATCCCAATAAAGCAGTGCACAAAACACTGCACTGTTTTTGCTGAAGCAGTCTTAATGATCTTTACTACTCTTAAGCCTAAAACTAGATTTCCTTCTGAGAATAAGAACAATTCCAGCAATCTGAAATGATGTTCAAACAGTAAGACTTAGGCCTCTTGCAAATGTGGATAGTGCTTTTCAGTGGATAGCAGTAGTTTTTCTAAATTCCCCTGTTGTCCTGATGAACCATATGATAAGTAAAGATGTAATCAGTTGATAATGAAATGAAAACAAAATGGGTCAAAATAGTATCTGCTGCCTTCTTGTACTGCATTAAGATGTAATCAAGACAATAGTTCAGCTAGCAGAATTCTTTTGCAAATGAAGGCAAATATACGTGTCCCAGGATAATTTTGTAGGATACAATCTGAGTCGGTCACTGGGACCAGAGGTGTCACCAACACCTGTGGTCCCATTTATCAACTCAGAATGGATTCTGTAGAATTCTTTAGCTACAAACCAATGAAAAGATAAAAGAAAACAGACTATCGGTATAACACTAGAGGTATACAGTGATGCAGGGGTGAAATGCTCCTGGTTCGGACCGGATCACCCGATCCTGCAGTGATGGTGGCGGGTGGTTCGGAGAACTGGTAGCAAAAATCCCTGCCCCCCCCCATGCCCAGTTGAGCCGCACAATCATCAGAGGCTTTTTTTTTTTTACTTTTAAAAGCATTTTTTCTACAACCCCTTTGGCCGAAAAAATGCTTTTAAAAGAAAAAAAAAAAAAAAAGCCTCTGATGATCGCTGGGATCGTCAAAGGCTTTTAAAAGAAAAAAACCCCTTTTTTTCTTTTAAATGCCTCTGACAATCCCAGCTGAGTTGCCTGATTGGCAGAGCTTTTAAAAAAAAGCCTCTGCTGATCAGGCAACTCAGCTGGGATCGTCGGAGCTTTTTGAAAGCATTTTTTTACAACCTCTTCACCGAAGAGGTTGTAGAAAAAATGGTTTTAAAAGTAAAAAAAAAAATTGGCCATGTCCACCCAGTTACATTACCCCCCCCAAGCCACACCCACAGAACCGGTAGTAACAAATTTTAGATTTCACCACTGCAGTGATGGGGATTTGGGAAAACCAACCTACTAAACAATTAGAATGTTCAGCAAGGATTTTGGATTGCTAGGTACAGAATGAAAATGTTCTTTAGGTATCTCATTAGATGTCAAAACTAGATAAACTGCTGTAGATTCCAAATGTTAGAAACAACTTCTAGTACTATTGTTATAATTCAAACATTACTAATTTTTCAGATTATAACATCAAAAAAAATGCTCAGTTAGTTTTTGAAAGGTTCTTTAGAAGAGAGATTCGATTGCCCAGATGTAAAATGTCCATATAGTTCTGTGCAATTTTTATCTTCCTCAGTTATGTTTATATCTTAGATTTATCATAGGAATTCTAGTTACTGAGCCATTTACCCCATACCAAATTATGAACAGTTGGTACATAAGAAAAAAAAAATACTGTGTTCTACCGTGACATTATTTCAGACAAAATAAATCACACAGTAGCTTTTATATCATGGAAAAGCAAATAGATGTCTGAATTCAAATCTGTAGATCAATCTTACAGTAGTATTAGGAAAATTGCAGTATCAGTTTTTGCTAAAAACATGCCCATGTACATATAGCAAATATGTATGTGCAAATTCGTCATAAGCAAATCTGAGTTCCTATTACTTGATTCCTCCCCTTCCTGCCCAATAAATAAGTGTGAATTCTGTATTTCATATTGAGAAGAAATCTAAGACTTTCCAGTTCAATGGCTGCAATAAAAAAAAAGTAATAGCTTCTTTTAATGTGAAACAAGATTGGAGTGGCACCATCCCAACAAAAATAATGTAAATTGATAAATCCTGACTACATTTTATGATATGAGTGTCTTAATGGATGCAGTCATCTATAAACAGCACTGTAATTTGATGTGATTTATAGTTTCATTATGTTGGTAGTTGAGTAGTTTAGCCTGCACTTACTGTGATAGATAAAAGAAGCAACATAATTTTTATTATCATTTATGATAAAAGTTTTTTGCACATGATTTTGCTTCTTCAACACATTAAAAGGAGCTAAAATTAATTTTATTTGACTGCAAGATTTTGGTTAGTGCATACAAAATAATAAAATCAAAACCCAAGAAACCAAAGTTAAAATAAACATTTCATAGAAAGAAGAATTGCACTAGTTAAAAAAAGATTTCCACCAGAATTTCAAACAATATTTCATCAATGCTATTTCACCAATGTTTCAAATCTTACATCATCTTCAAATTAAGATAAGGAAAATGTACAGAACTGCATGTTATCTGCATAGTAATGAAAATTCACTTAACCTCTTGGATGAAATTTCCAATTATGTCATGTTCCTCTTTAAATGCACAACGAACTCAATCCTCCAGGTGTCAGAAGTTAACATACCATGAGTTATGTTCATAATCTCCCAAGTTCCTATCCCACCAAGAAGACCTAAAAAGATAGTATAATCAATAGTACTATAAGTCATACAGAAGTCCAACGGAAATATAGTATAAGACCATATCTTTTCTCTATGTGGATTTAGATAGAAAATCAATTGTGGCTACTATTTTCATGTTCAAACCAAGGCAAAAGCCAACCATAGTGAGCCAGCCATAATTTATCTGTTGATTAGTTTTATTACAATCACATGCACTAATACTTTACAAAGTAGAATTTTTTAATATTATTGATTTTCTAATTGTAGTTTAAGAAAGACTTCAAGTTAAAGTGAATGATATCCCTTTTAAGAGTCCTATAATAAAGACTTGGTTCTGTCCATTTATTTTCCAGTTAACTTGCTTAAATCAAGAGAAAAATATGCCAATATTTTCATTGATCCAGGACCATAGTCATACCCTCAAAACCATAATCATAGAATGAACAATTGGAAAAAGTTCATCAGTAAGATCCCTGAATGTAGAACCAAACTGAAAATAAGCATGAGGGATTTGTATCTATGAAGCATTATGAATATTGTATGAATAATGTATTGTTAGCAGTCTAATAATATTCATAATGCTTCATAGATGCAAGATTTAGACAGATACAATATTTCTTCCAACTTTCCTGTGACTCCAGTATAAAAGATAGAATTATTCTAAAAAGCTCCATTGATTAGCTCCTTCCAAATACAAAGAATACAAGAAGTAATTTTTGTCTTCCCATTCTAGAATAGTTTCAAAAATGGATCAGAGTCTTCATAACAAGTAGGATCCATCAGAGGTCATTAACCACTGACTCAGTCATTTACCCATCCATTTCATTACCAAAATTCAAGGTCCTACCTTCACTCTACCTATGTATGCTCAGAAATGTTCCTCATTTGAAAAACAAGGTACATAACTAGAAATATCTCTCCAAATTACTAGGACTCCATTAGGATTTGTAAGCCTCTAGGATGTCATGCTTGTATGAGTTAGAGATTAAGTGGTTAAATCCAGTGTCAGACTTACATTTCAAGTTCCACTGTATTACATATTTTGTTACCTTTCAAAAATATCAAAATTATTATCAATATAGTGGCTCAGGATGCAGTGTACAGTAGAATAAAGCAGCGTCCCTGTGGTCTGTCATAAGGGTGAATGATCATGGGGCCACTGTAACTGTCATAACTTTGAAACAGTTGTATGTAGTTTTGTGGTGTTAGTCATAACTTTGAACCATCATTGTGGCCCGTCATTTCTCCAGGTCTACCTCTACATCCTTTTAAGCATTTCTTCTAGACTGACCCATTTTTGCTAGAGAAATCATTGCTATAAGATTAATATACTGTAGGTAGTCCTTGACACTTATAACAGTTCATTTAGTGACTGTTCAAAATTACAATGGCACTGAAAAAAGTGACTTATGAATATTTTTCACATTTATGACTGTTGCAGCATACCCATGGTCACATGGTTTACATCTGGATGTTTGACAACTGGTTCATATTTATGATGGCTGCAGTGTCCCAAGGTCATATGGTCATCTTTTGCAATCATCTGATAAGCAAAGTCAATTGGTGAAGCCAGATTCACTTAACAACCATGTTACTAACTTAATAACTGCAGTGATTCACTTAACAAATATGACAAGAAAAGTCGTAAAATGAGGAAAAACTCACTTAACAAATTTCTCACTTAGCAACATAAATTTTGGGCTCAATTGTGATCTAAGTCGAGGATTGCCTGTACTGGTAATAGAATTTTGTCTCAATAAAGATTGTTTAAAGTATATCATTACTATACATGGAGGAAGAGCACCAAGGATTTAAAATGGGTAAATAACCCAACAATCTGAAAAATGATACAAATAAATATGAATACACTACCTATAATACAGTTTCAAGTTATGCATTTTATAAGAATATGAAATGCAACCATGCTAACACAAACATTTATTCTGAAAGTTCCATTCTACTTACTGTTTAGAATTACATCATCAAAGCACTTTATGGCAGTGAAATAGCTTTTACTCCTCTGACTTGCTCATTCATTATATTCCATTAAAGCTGAAAATGTGTGATCCACTTGAAAAATATGCTGCTTTTTATTTACTTTAAAGAAAAGTTGGAACAAAACATGCTGATGACGGAAGCATTGCATTGGAAAGATATATCAAGATATATTCTTCTGTCTTCTGTACCCCACCCATTCTTTAATCTTCCATCTTGAAATAACTTAAATATAGTTTAAAGTTTGAATATAATTTAAAATGAAGTGCAGTCTCTTTACAGTACTTATAATAATTATACCTTAAAACATTCTAAAGCTTCATAAATTATTTTCTTGGAAAAAAGGCTGCAAGTCGCTGCTTTTTAATAGGAAGAATGTGTATTTCTTGCGAGTTCATTTTCTTTAACTTGACACTCCTGTTTTTGATAGGTTTTCTAAGAGCTTCTGCATTATCCTGGACTTCAGGCTGATTCTTCACATCATAACATTGCAGCCCTGAGTCCTGAGGCATGTCCCTTTTGAAGGAAAAGTTTTTAGTAGAAACCCCTGAGAGGCCTTTAATCTTACCACAGAAAATAGTTGGCACTGCATCTTTTACAGAAACTATCACTTTGGCTGTCTGTGAAGTACTCACAATTTCTATATTATTGCCAGTTGTGGGTTCACAAGTTGCAATACTATTCTGATCCACCAGCCATTTGGACTGTTGTCTTAGGAGTTCAGACGAGCTGGAACTGATCACTCTGTTTTCAGCCTTGGTTGGGATCTCATGAGGGTTATCTGCCACTGAATGAGAAGTTTCATCTATCATGGACCCAGAACAATTCAAGTTTGTTGTCTCAATATTGTTCACCTTCCGAAAAGAAGTAATTGACAAGTCCAAAGCACTATCATTGGGGGCATTCTGGCAATTAACATAGTTTTCCTTAAGAAAAGGAGCTGTTTTCATAGAAAGATCAAGGACTTCATTTTCATTACTCATCTTAATGACAGTGTGCCGATTCAATTGAGAAATTCCTCTGGGGTGGATAAAATCACACAGTTTAGTTTCTTCCTTCTCCAAAGGAGTCTGGGTACCTTTGCATGAATGCAAAACAAAGGAAGCAGCTGGTTTGGAGTAGTCTAAATTAACCTTAGATTCAACGCCATGAGGAACTGGGATGGGAATGGGAATGGGGACTGGGACTGGGACTGGCAAAGGCACAATCACAGGATATGGCACCAATAAGGTGGCTGGGGGAACCAATGGAGACAAAGGAGAACTGAAGGGCTGAGATGGGAGAGGACATTCTGGAGGTGGCTGATAAGGTAAAGAGCTCAAAGCTCCTTGAGTAGGAAAGAGGTCTTGTAACACAGCAGCAAATCCTGGTGTCTGAAATACAGGGGGCAGGACAGAATCTTGAGTTGGATTGGAAGGTTTTTGATCCAACAGTTGGGGTTGTCCAATAGGAGTAGCAGAACTTTGGAACAGATTGCTATGAATGGAACTGGGAGCACATGGTGAATTCTGAGGTAATACTAATGGAGAATTTAAATGCTGAAATACATGCTGCTCTAAAAGAACAGGCAATGGGACTGGGCCTTGGGTGGTCATAACATATGGAGTATTACTATTGGGAGCAATCTGAGGAGTGGTGCTTCCTGCTACTTGCAAATGTATGGGAAGAACCACAGGACTGTCTCCTAAACAAATTGGCTGAAGCACTGTGGCAGCTACTTTGAGAGCAACCCCACTTTGGGATTCTGCTGGTGGTGTTAATATTGATGGAGCAGGCACAGTTACAAGTGGTGAAAGTGCTTTCTTCATCAGATCTGACGAATTGATATTCCAGGCTTCGGCTGTTATCAGCTGGGCTACACCACTTTCTAATTTGTTGTTAGCAATAGCAGAGGGTGAAGTGGTAATATCCATGGGTAGGTTTTGTGTGTCCTTATATAGTTCCTCCATTATATAGGATTTCTGAAGCTTTGCAGAATTGTAGCTTACATAGCTGTAATTGACATCCACTTTATCTCCAGGCTGCCCAAAGTATCCACATCAACACTATCTGGTCTGCAAAACAGAGACATGTTTTAAGCAATGCATAAATCCTTTGCTTAAAATAACATTTGCAACTTTTTAAAAGGGTTCCTATCACCAAAATAGAACACTGCTTTATTAGCTTTGGGGGGCAGAGCTTTTAATCACACAATGTCCTAGGCATGTGTACAGTATATATACTTACACAGAGAACATACATCTCTGGAGTGTTACATGAAGAGTCCTGGGGAACTTAAACTAAGCCATAAACAAAGATAATTTAAAGACTGAAGTAGCTATACAAAATGCTACTGCAGAGCAATAATGCATTGTTTATACGTTTTGTTTATACTTTTAAACAAAGCTTCATATAATGGTATCATGTGATTTATGGAAGCAGCTGTACTATTTACATTCAACAACACCCCTAAAATAACTCATGATAAAATTATTCATTCTGGTTTGGAAACTTTATTTACAGTAAAAGAATCACATCATGCTTGCCTGCCAATATCCTTAAACCTGTTTTGGAATATGCTCAGATAGCATTAAGTGATAGCCCCCATAGTAGACATAACACTCAACAATTTACAAATGTTGATACTCCACTGCACAGCATCTCTTCCATTTAGAGCTATTCAACTACATACAAATACAAAGTCTTTATTTATAAAATCTTCAAGACTTAATATCAAAGCAGCTACCATATTTTTCAGAGTATAAGACGCTGCGGAGTGCATCTTATAAGACACACATTAGTTTTTGGGGAGGAAAACAAGAAAAAAAATCTGCCTCTGCCTACCAGTATCCATCGGTATTCATCTGGCTAGCGTCCTTGCAGCAAACAGTCTAGTCAGCTTCAGCATGTTATCGCAGCCTGATTTAGCATGAACAGCTGATTGGCGGTTGGATCGGCCTCCCAGAATACCACCAATCAGCTGTTCCAGGCTGTGGGGATAGCCACAGCCTATCGCCGCCTCTGTGCGTCACATTTTTGGCCTCCGCAAATCGTGTTTTCGGCCTCCGCATGCTCCATTTTAGACCCGTTCCAGGCTGCCGGGATCGCCACCTCTGTGCATCACGTTTTCAGTCTCCATACGTCGCATTTTCGGCCTCTGCATGCCCCGTTTTTGGCCTCCACGCGTCACATTTTTGGCCAGTTCCAGGCAGTGGGAATTGCCGCCAATTCCTGCCGCCTGAAACCAGCCAAAAATGTGACGTGCAAAGGCCAAAAATGGAGTGTGTGGAGGCTGAAAACACGCAGAGGCGGCAATCATCGGCGATGTGCTGTGGCGAACCCGCAGCTTAGAATGGGTCTAAAACGGGGCGTGTGGAGGCCGAAAACACGACATGTGGAGGCTGAAAACGGCCAAAGGGTGGAAGCCAGTGGGTGGGCAGGGTTTTGGCAACTTTCAGTGTATAAGATGCACCACAATTTTCACTCATTTTAAAGGGGGGGGGGAGTGCGTTTTATACTCCGAAAAATATGGTATGTACTCTGATGTAACTTATCTTAACTACAAGTTGTCAGAAATAAACCTTTTTCTATTGTAAATCATCAACATTTTTTACTTCTCATAGCAGTCTGCTCATACTTAAAGCCCTATGCACAAATTATTCTCATCATAAAATATATCATGTTAATACTGCTACTAGTATTATCTGATATCTTTTGTTAAAAAGTAATGTTACCTTCTTAATTTCAGTAAAGGATGTTTCTTAACTGTCTTAGCCAAGCAACAATATAACATAGTAATACAATTTTTTTCTTATGTTTTGTATCCATCTGCTCATTAGATTTTATAGCCTTTAGGAAAAAAAATTTCCCCAAATCCAACATTATATCAATATACTGTTAATATGATTCAAGCTCTTAGTAAGCAAAACGGTCAAATTCCACAATAAACCAATGATAGAAGGAGGCAAAGAAAACCAAAACTAAGAGAAAACAAGTGAGCCAGAGCAATATATCATTAAAATAAATCTCACAGTTTGTGTGTGTGTGTAGAGAGAGCGTGCAAAATGATGAAAAACACAACAAATATCCTTATTATAATGATTAAATGTAAGTTGATATTTTATTGAAAAAAATTTAGTGACATACCTTCTGTCCTTCCTTCTGTCTGTATATTATAATTAATTATGTACCCCCCCCCACACACACAACATATTCATCAAATTACATTCTTAATGAAAAGAGAAACACTGTGGTTTTATAAACAACTATTTACCTAACTTAATATAAATCCATCATGAACTGTCCAGGCCATTATTGAACTTGCATATATGAAGATGCAGAATAAGTGTGTCTTGTTGGATTGACATATTATTCTTTTTAATGACAGTTGTCATTAATGAATATTCTCATTATAAATTTGTAACATGTACGAAAAAGCATTGTCCAAAAAAGGCTGTAATGTAATAAAGATGATTAGCAGCCATTATTCATAAATGAAGTGACACAATAACAATAGAATTTATAAGTAAGTTCTCAGACAGAAAATTTAAAGTCATAGTCTAAGGTAGAGTACAGGTTCAGTTGGAACCAGAATCCCTATTGTTGAGCAAAGTGGTCATAAAGCAAGATGCCCACATGACCATTCTGCTTAATGATTGCAATCCCGACTCTCCCAGCTGTGGTCATTAAGTGATTGCATGGGTTGTTAAGCATAGAGCTGGGGAGAAGGTCTTCTTCCCACCCTATTATGCCTAGGTCTCCTTACTGTTGCCTTTTTCTGCAGCTGCAGGTGCACCCAGCTGATGAAGACATGGTTTTCCTACAAAGCCATGCTGTGTCATCCAGCAGATGGATCTCATTCTTATGATCATTGAATGGCTCCTTCTCCAAATTATGTAATTTGGAGAAGGGGCCTTCCACGCTATTATATGAATGATCAAGTTCACTAGCTACAAAGCTACCAAACATAGTCATTCTGAAGGTTAGACATCTTTATAGCCTTCAGAACAGAAGAGTGCAGGAAAGGTAGTGAATGCCATCATTCTAAAACCTATAAATCTTCCTAGCCTTCAGAATAATGCTGTTCACCAACTTTCCAGCTGACAGAAGGTAGCAGCTTGCAACCTTCCCTGCTGGTTTCCCCACTGACTTTCTGGGGAAGCCAGCAAAGAAGATTGTAAATAGCAATCATATGACCAAAAGATACTTCCCAAACAGTTTTAAAAACAAACAACCTGAAATGTTGTCATGTGATTGTGGGGAAGAAGGATAAGTGTGATATTTCACTATGGTCGGAAGTGCTTTAATGGACTGTAAAGCATCCTTTCTGAGGCCATTGTAACTTTGGTCATTAAAGAACAAGTTGTAAGCAAGGACTATCTCTATGGGCATTCAGCCAACCTGTGTTGGACTGATAACTTTGTTTCTGTCTATCTTAAATCACTCTGTATTTTTTCCCAGCTGAGTGAAGTAGCTGTATATGCATAGGCTTCCAGAGATAGCTAAAACAGCTACTAAGTTGCAAAATATGGCTGTTTTACCAGTTAGTATACATGCTCCTCTAGTTTCCAAATAACCTCTTTTGAAAAAAATTGCACAGCCCTTTTGGGCAAGTACTAATAAATGGACACATCTGTACAACTAGTACAATATATCTGAAGCATTTAAATCCTGCTTTACTCTAAAAAGTCACTATACCATTAGGATTTTTTGTATCTTGCAACTTAATTAATCATACTCTGTGTGACACCAATGACCAAGTATAACTCAAATGGCCTTTTATCCTTCTGGCCAACCAATTTAAAAAATAGAGGATTTACAGAGAACAGGATTTTATGAGCAAAACGTATCAGATATACTATGATATTGCGGTACACTGTAACAAACACAATAACTCAATAATTTCATATAACTTCTGTTCTGGTTGACGTCGCGGCACCTTCAGACACAGTGAACAGGTCTCCGCGTTCACTGTGCTGACTTCTCCCTGTTTGTGGGCTCTGAGAGGAGCCAAAGCCTCCCTGTAGGGGTGATGAAGCAAAGAGGGGCAGCCTGTGAGGTCGAGGAGAGTCGCAGCTCTCCTGTCTGACCCAGGGTGTCAAGTTTCGAGGTTGTCTCAAATAAATTGCATTTCAAACAAAGTCTTTGAAGAAAAACTCCTATTTATTAAGCACAACATTCTAACCCGACTCCAAACGAAGCCAACACTGACTTCCAGCCCCAAAACCCTCCCTTTCTGTTCCCCACTCCCCTGCACTCACTGGCCATCTTCCAAGTCATTCTACCCCTAATCTACTCCAGCTCAAAGGAATTTCCCCCCTCCCATCTCATCTCCTAGGGGATATTATCTCCAGGGAAAATAAGTAGGTGAAAAGTCAAACGTCCCTTTCCAGACGCCTTCGCTTCTCCTTCTTATGTCAGCACTAGAGTAAATGCAGGTTGAAGTGCTGACACACTTCAAGCCACAGCAAGAAGAAGAGGCAGCTAAAGATGGCTGCCATAAAGCTGGGACAACCGATGAACATCTAAGACTGGTGCTGGAATGAAGTAGATGAACAGTGACTGGAACTGGGGGAGAGGATTTCCTTTTGCTTTAAATTCAACCCCAAGGAACAATTTAGAACTATTTGCTCGGAATTATCTGTAAAAGTGGTGTCTGAGCATTCTGAGAAACTACCAGAGGGGCGTAGGAGAGAAAAATAACAAACTTTGAAATATACAGAAAATTGGGAAGACGTGGTACTGGGAAGGCATTTTAAAATGCTGGAATAATTTACTAACAAAACTTATTCTGCTTTTATAATTGTTCTACGACTAAAAGAACACTTGATTAGTGGCAATACTGAAATTTAAGCTGAGAGTGCCACCTACTGATGAAAGGAAAAATTACAAGCCTGGGAATATCTACATGAAGGACTATTAAAATATCTATTGGATTACTTTTAACTACCCTATGACTACTGGAGACCCAAATATAAGTAGGCTTTCTTAACTAAAGGGGCCGCTGAATGTTATGCTAGAAGATTGAACCTGTAAAGGGGATGTAAAGAGGCTTTGGATAATTTGGGATTATCTAAATGGAACTGACTGTTTACCTATGGGATATAAAGAACTAGGACTAGTGCACTCTTAAGGACTGGATTGTTGGACAAAAGTTGAATTTTTTAAAAATAAAGCAAGATGCTTTATGAGGCAGAAATTGGTGGAATTTTGAAGGAGATGGTGTTACTCTTCCAAAACACAAAAAACACCATGGAGAAAGGATTTAAGGAGATTATGGAAAAAATGGAAAATGCCATACGAGGGATGATGAGTAAAGAACAAGATGCCCAGGAAAGGGAGGAGTCAGCAGAAGAAACGAAGGAAGAAGAAGACAAAGAGGAGACAATGGGAATAACAGTGATTGATGAATTAAACCAGGGGGAAAATGTATTAAGAGAGTTGGAAGAGACGTTTGAAAGAGAGATAGGGGCCTGGGCAGAAATTTTGAGAACTAGGCAGTGGAAGAGGGTAGAGGTAGGAGAAATACCTAGATCGAATAGCCAAGAAGCAGATTCTGACAGAGAAAGAGCTTCAGGAGAGGAATTTGGGAGGCAAGTTAAAAAAAAAAAAAAGCATTGCAATTAAAGTATTGAAGCGGGCAAGGCACAATGGATAGATGATTTTTCTTCTCTGTTGTTGTTTTGAATTACTTTTTCTTTTCTCTCTCTCTTCTTTTTTTTTAGGTAGGGTGACATGATTAGAAGTTAGGTAGGATAGAAAGAAAATATTTTTTTACTAAAAGGTGATATGATTAAAAGTGATAGAAATAAGAGAAGGGGGAATATTAGTGTATGCTCCTTTATATAATAAAACAAAAGTAACAATAAGAAAACATGGAATAATTGAATAATGACAGATTGCAACTTATTATAATTGTGTATCATTATTAGAAATATATAAGTTGATTGAGTCTAATAATTATGATTAATTTTACTAGTTTTATTTGTATTAGAATGTTTGACACCCAGGGGCCACACTGTTTACACATTGATATGATATGTTTGTAAAAAATAAAGAACTTAATTTCATAAAACTTCTAGGGCCATGCAGCCCAAGATGTTAATTCCCTTAATCTTCTGGACATTCTATGTAGCTGCTCATTTAATGAGGTAATATTTAAGTTTATCTGCTACACATTCCTAAGCGACATTGGATCAGTGCTTACTTTATAATGACATTCCATATAATTGTATATAATATATCCTCTGATATCATGATATTGTGCATGTTGAAAAATTATCATCATGATATTGTGATATTAGAGAGGACTACTTCTTTTGCTCTGAAGTTTTTTAAATATGCTCCAAACCAGTGGTGGTATTCAAAAATTTTTACTACCGGTTCTGTACGCGTAGCCTGGTAGTCATGTGACTGGGCGGGCGTGGCTTGGACATGTGACTGTATGGGCGTGGCTTAGTGGTCACATGACTAGATGGTCATGTGACTGGGTGGGTGTGGCTAGGTGGTCATGATCCTAGTTCCCCCTACGAGGATTCCTGCATCTGGACCTTTTGCAATCCCCCAAAGGGGTTAAAGGAAAGCAGATTCCATACAGCTCTAAACCCTTAAGGCAAACCAAATACAAGTGGTCCTTGCTTAATGGCCGGATGCTTAGCAAGTGTTCAAATTTATGACTGACCTCTCCAGAGCTACTTGACCTGTTTTTGGAGTTTTGACAGCCATGTGTGCACGCGTGCACGTGCACGTGCACCACACAAACACGCACATTTATGACCAGTTACAACATCCCACACAGTCATGTGACTGAGGTTTTCTATGTTTTTTGCCTCCTGCCTCCATGCATCAAGGAGGCCGAGCAGCAGCAGGAAGAGCACGGACCTCCTGATGCAGGAAACGTCTGCCAGTGATGCCCTCACGCGAAGATGTTGTGAGTGGGGAGGCTCGACCCTCCCCACTTAGGAGCCTCAGTTTACTCCTGTGCACCATTGGCCTTTCTCCCTGCCTCTCCTGGCCAATGTTGCTCATGAGTAAGCTGCAGCTAGGATCTCCCTCGTGCTTCCCTCGCAGGCTAGGCCGGCTGGGGGAAACACATGCTCTCCTCCCTCCCCACATGCATCGGTTCACCCGCCGCTGGTATCACCCGTCCCCCAGCTTGCCCTACCCCACCCACCCGCCGGCCCATGCCCTTCAGCCTTACCTTTGCCAGCAGCGGTGAGCAGAAGTACGTGGCTAGATTCTGCAAACAGTGGCGGGGCGGACGGGCTGACAGGCGGGGCAAGCGAGCATTGGGTGGTCAGGGTGAGCAAGCAGGGACCGGGTTACCGGTTCGGGGGCGTGGCCAGCGGTTCCCCTGAACAGGTGCAAACCGGCTGAATACCACCTCTGCTCCAAATCTGTGGAGAGATTGGAGAAATATCTAGGTTGGGGGTTACAGGAAGCTTTTAAAATTTGGATATCTCATCATATCCATTGTACTGGATTTGTTGAGAGGATAGCTGATTTAATTTTCTATTTTACTACAGAATTACATCTCATAAAAATTGTTGAAAAAAGTATAGGTGGAAGAGGATACCCATCATGACAATGATAACTCTTTTCCTTTATGTAATAGATAACTTTAGCTTATAAAAGTTACTGTAAAATATAGTTATGCAGTGTTTTGGATATAATTTTACAGAAGTGCTCCATCTGGTATATTACACAGTTATTATCATGAAGATGCCAATGATTGTCAGAAGAAAAGCAGAACATAAATCTATATAAATAAAAATGTAAATGTCCATTTGTACATAACCACACATCTCCGAAAGTTCTTCACCGATTGCTTTCAAATTTTGACATAACGTTGCATTCAACTATGGGCATGTTTTTATATACCTACAGTCATGGCCATAAATGTTGGCACCCCTGAAATTTTTCCAGAAAATTAAGTATTTCTCACAGAAAAGTATTGCAGTAACACATGTTTTGCTATACACATGTTTATTCCCTTTGTGTGTATTGGAACAAAACCAAAAAAAAAGGGGGGGGGGAAAGCAAATTGGACATAATGTCACACAAAACTCCAAAAATGGGCTGGACAAAATCATTGGCACCCTTTACTTAATATTTGGTTGCACACCCTTTGGAATAAATAACTGAAATCAGTTGCTTCTGATAACCATCAATAAGCTTCTTACACTGCTCACCCGGAATTTTGGACCATTCTTCCTTTGCAAACTGCTCCAGGTCTCTCTTATTGGAAGGGCGCCTCTTCCCAACAGCAATCTCTCCACAGGTGTTCAATGGGATTGAGATCTGGACTCATTGCTGGCCACTTCAGAACTCTCCAGTGCTTTGTTGCCATCCATTTCTGCGTGCTTTTGCCGTATGTTTGGGGTCATTGTCCTGTTGGAAGACCCAAGATTTCTGATGCAAATCCAGCTTTCTGACACTGGGCTCTACACTGCAACCCAAAATCCGTTGGTAATCCTCAGATTTCATGATGCCTTGCACACATTCAAGGCACCCAGTGCCAGAGGCAGCAAAACAACCCCAAAACATCAGTGAACCTCCACCATATTTCACTGTAGGTACTGTGTTCTTTTCTTTGTAGGCCTCATTCTGTTTGCGGTAAACAGTAGAATGATGGGCTTTACCAAAAAGCTCTATCTTGGTCTCATCTGTCCACAAGACGTTTGCCCAGAAGGATTTTGGCTTACTCAAGTACATGTTGGCAAACTGTAGTCTTGCTTTTTTATGTCTCTGTGTCAGCAGTGGGGTCCTCCTGGGTCTCCTGCCATAGCGTTTCATTTCATTTAAATGTTGTTGTTTTTTTTACTGAAAAGTTTTACAAAAAGTTTACACATTCCCCCCCCTTCCCTACCTCAACCTCCCCCCTCCTCTTCCCAGAACAAATTACAGGGTATAACCTTCAACAATCATAATCAATCCTAGTCTAAATAATTATAACATTCCACATCTCTTGTTCCTTCAATTCCCTAATTACCCGCCTAGCTTTATTACTTAAAGACACACCAAATATCTATATAATCATTCATAACCTATCTGCAATTTCTTATTCCGGTATTTATTTTGAATATAATCTATCCATCTTCTCCAGTCTCTTAAATATCTTTCATTTGAATGATCCTTCAAGTACGCCGAGATTTTTGCCATTTCCGCTAGGTTTGTAACTTTCATTGTCCACTCTTGGATTGTAGGTAAATCTTGCTTTTTCCAATATTGTGCCACCAACAGTCTTGCTGCAGTTATTAAGTTCAAAATCAATTTAGTCTCTATAACTGTACAATCCGTAACTATACCCAGCAGAAACAGCTGTGGTGTAAATTTCAACCTCTTTTTAAGAATATTTTGTAAAATCCACCAAATTTTAATCCAAAATGCTTTAACCTTTTTACATGTCCACCAAATGTGAAAATAAGTGGCATCCTCACAATTACATCTCCAACATTTTGGTTGTACATTCAGATACATACGAGATAACTTTTTTGGGTCTAGATGCCATCTATAAAACATTTTATAAAAGTTCTCCCTTAAATTTTACACTTTGGTAAATTTCACATTTGTCACCCATATTTTTTCCACGTTTCCATCATTATTGGCTGTTCAAAATTCTGCACCCATTTTATCATACAGTCCTTAACTAACTCTGTTTCCGAGTCCATCTCTATTAATATATTATACAATCTTTTTATGTGCATTGGGCTTTGGTCTCTAATTTGTTTAATTAAATTTTCATCACTTTGTATAACACCAGTTTTCTGGTCTTTTCTCCATCTGGCTTGTAATTGTACATATTGAAACCAAGTTTGAGTTATTTTCTCCTCTTTCAACACATTCTCAGGTTTTAATTTTAATATACCTCCCTTCATAATGAGAATATCTTTATATGTAATTACATCCTGTCTACTTTCTATACTCGTATTCTCTATTGCGTGCCTGGGTGCTGTCCATATAGGTATCTTTTCATTTAACTTATATTGATATTTCTTCCAGACACGCAATAAAGCATTTCTCAATATATGACTCTTAAATGCTCTATCCACCCTTTTTTCATACACTAAATAAGCATGCCAACCATAGACCAGGTCATGCCCTTATATATTCAATATCCTTCCATTTGTTAGATTAATCCAATCACTAATTGCTGATAAAACAGCTGCTTCATAGTACAATTTTAAATTTGGCATTTTCAATCCTCCTCTTTCTCGTATGTCCTGCATTATTTTCAGTTTTATCCTTGGTTTCTTACCTTGCCATACGAACTTATTAATACCTTTCTGCCATTCTTCCAGGTTGGCATCCTTTTTCAGTATTGGTATCATTTGAAAGAGGAATAAAAACCTAGGTAAAACATTCATTTTTATAACTGCTATTCTACCCAACAAGGACAGTTGTAATTTTTTCCATTTATCCATTTCAACTTGTATTTTATGCCATATCAGTTCATAATTATGCTTATACAATTTACCATTAGAAGATGCAATATAAACTCCTAAGTACTTAACTTTTTTAACTATTTCACATCCCGTTACCCTTTGTAACTCCTCTTTTTGATTTGTTGTCATATTTTTAACTATCATCTTTGTTTTTCCAATGTTTATCTTAAACCCAGATACTTGACCATACTGTTTTATTATATCCATCAAAACCTTTGCTGATTCCACTGGATGAGTTAAGGTCATAATCAAATCATCTGCAAATGCCCGTACCTTATATTCATAGTCTCTAACTTTGATTCCCTTTATCTCATCTATATTACGTATTTTGTTTAGCAACAATTCCAAAGTTAATATAAATAATAATGGCGATAAGGGACATCCCTGCCTCGTACCTTTTTCAATTTTAAAAGTTTCTGTCAAACTGCCATTAATAATTATCTGAGCTGTCTGTTCCTGATATTTTGTTTTTATGGACTGCCTAAAGCAATTCCCAAATTGCATCCTATTAACCACTCTCAATAAAAATTGCCAATCTAATCGATCAAAAGCTTTTTCCGCATCCAAAAATATAAGCACCGCAGGGATTTGGTTATTCCTTTCCAAATATTCCAATATGTCAACAATTTGTCTTACATTATTTTTCATTTGTCTACCTTGTATGAAACCAGTTTGGTCAGCATGAATCATTTTTTGCATTACTAGCATTAACCTATTTGCCAATATCTTAGCAAATATTTTATAATATTGGGACCTGGTTACTTTATAATATTGGGCTTGGGACCTGGTTACTTACGGGACCGCCTACTACCATCAACAGCCTCCCACCGACCAGTACGCTCCCACAGAGAGGGGCTCCTCCAGGTGCCGTCGGCCAAACAATGTCGGCTGTCGGCCCCTAGGGGGAGAGCCTTCTCTGTGGGGGCACCGACGATCTGGAATGAGCTCCCCCCAGAGATACGGAGGATTCCGGATCTGCGCACCTTCCGCCGCGAGTTGAAGACGCTTTTGTTTCATCAAGCTGGCCTCGCCTAAATCTCCTCCTTTCTAAAGTGTAAATTCTAAATTTTAATGGATTTTAAAATATGGGTATTTTAAATTGGGTATTAATTCAGCCAAATTTATTTAATTCATTTTATTCGATTTTAAATTTTGTATATCTATGTGTTTTATTTCATGGCTGTGCACCGCCCTGAGTCCTTCGGGAGTAGGGCGGTATAGAAATTCAATAAATAATAATAATAATAATAATAATCTGTATTCAATAATGATATGGGTCTATAATTTTTGGGATGTGTCAAATCTTGATCTTCTTTTGGAATTAACGAAATAAAAGCTGTTTTCCATGAAGGTGGTACCCCTTCATCCAACTGAATTCTATTAAATAATTCTTTAAGAGGTACAACCATCTCCAGTTGTAAATATTTATAATACACAGCTGTTAATCCATCCGTGCCAGGAGCCTTACCAGTTTTTAACTATTTAATTGCTGAGAGGATCTCCTCCTCTGTTATTAATTGGTTTAACCGTTCTCTTTGTTCCTCTGTAACTATAGGAATATTCTGTCTATCCAGATATGTCTCTATCTCTGCACCTTGTATTTTGTCTGCAGTATACAGTCTTGCATAAAATTCTAAAAATGCCTTTTTAGTCATATTTTGGTGATACACCTCTTTACCTTTGTACTCTATTTTCTCTATGGTACGAGATTTTTGTTTTTTCCTCAGCATGTGTGCCAACCATCTACCTGGTTTATTTGCATTACAAAAAGTATTATGTTTAGCATATTGTAGATTGGTTGCCACTTGGTCTGAAAGCATCATATTAAATTGCCCACGTAATAGACTGATCTCTTCTTTGATTTTCTTATCCCCTGGGTTATCAATTAACACCCTTTCTTTTTTCTTGATCTCTTCTTCTAATTCCCTCCTTTTTTCCACCTGTCTACGCCT